GCGACGTGGGGCGCTTCATCGTCGGAGACCATCCTGGCGATCGCGGGGCGAAGGAGGCCGATCCAACCAAAAATCGAAACTGGACCGACTTCATTACACGACAGTCAACAAGCATTGAAGCTTACAAAGGACCATCTGGGATTGGATCAAGTGCAGAACCGGTGCTCATCAGCTTCGGTCCAAGCCTGCAACTCTCAGCAGCTTCGGCCATCAGTGCTTGCTCGCGGCGGCGAGCGATGGCATGTTCCATACCTGGGACGCATTTGGCAAACAAAGACTATCAGTCTCCGTGGTCAAACTTGAGGCCGAGGGTAGGTGACGAAAGCTAGCAGGGGTGCATCCGGACTGGTGGGACATCAAGCGGAGTGAGGCAAATGCTCATGAGGTAAAACGTTGTGAACATGTAAGACACACAAGCAGCAATGACACAGCCAACCTTAGAATTGAAGTCCCCGATCGTCATGTATATGTAATGAGGGACTGAAGAAAAGCAACGCAGCATCATGAGCATCACGGGAAGTCACAAACCAGGCGTATCAGATACACCTGGTTTATGTATGTTTGTTTGAGCATCTTTGTCGAGTGAAGTGTCAGCCATATGCACTGAGATGCCGAAGGAAGCTCAAAGGCACGTGTATCTGATACGCCTGGTTTCTGACTTCCCGTGGTGCTCATCATTGAAGCCTTGAACCCTCGCGTAAATTTCATGTTTCATGCCCCCCCTTCCAAACTCAAACAGTGGCCTACTTCACCTGCCACCTAAACATAGCACTATAGCACGTACCGGAAGCGTCCCAGGGGGGAGTTGAACCCGCGGGGGGGGGGGGGGCCCTACACGTGAAGTTTTCAGGTGATTCATGATTCTCGAGGCTGCGAGCCCTTGACTTGCTAAAGCAAGAGCAACTCCAGCTAGCTGATGCTAGCTTTCGTGATCAAATCAAAGACCTCCCACCACAAGGCCGCTAGCCGGTATTAGATTAAAAGTCCGAGGGGCGTTGACGCACTTTCTTGCCTGCGCGTCTTCTTGGCTTGTTGAACAAACGTGCCTCCTCCGGCTCTGGGTTGGGTACTCCTCGATGAGCCGTAGGTGGTGCGCTGCCTGAGCGCGCGGCTCTGGGTTTGGCCTCCGGTACGGCAGGCATTGGTTCGGGCACCGTGCTTGTGGACGGCTCTTTGGCTTGGGGCAGCTCCCCGGTGGCCATGGCCCTAATGGCTGCGCGCGTGCGCTTGGCACGGACCTTCTTGCCTGAGCGGTAGGTGCGCTTCGGGCGGAGCGAAACTGCTTGGGGCGGCGGGCTCGGAGCCTCGATGGAGCATCCACCCGGTGGAGCACTGCCCGCTCGAAGCGGAGCCTCAGAGCTCCCAGACGAGTCTTTGGAGGCCTGGCGGCGAGTCTGCCGCGCTGGCTCAGGCACTGGAGGAAACGGTGGATCTAAGCCGGGCTCGTAGCATGTCTCAATCATTGGAGCCGCTGCCATTTGGGAAGATGGCAGGATTGGCAGCTGTCGGCCCCGAACCTGCATGGGAAACACTCCTCCACCGACGACTGTCCCGAAGGCACTGGCCGTCTGCAAGGCAATCGCTTGTGAACCAGCAACTATCACCACATTGTTGGAGGGCTGCTGCGGTAGGTGCCTGGCATCTATCCTGCTTGGAAGCTCAGTGTGCATCAAACTGCCTGGCCTGTTGTCCATCATGTATTCCCAATCGGTGGATGGGCACTTACTCGCGCCGGAGGCTTGCTCTGAGCCTGATCCTGAGCCCGAGGCACTGTTCGAGAAATGAAAGGCTTCCCCCTTTCGCAGCTTCCTCCTCTCCTTGGACAAACCATCCGCCCGCTTGATTGCCGCATCGCGCCCACGCGATGCGGAGCCGGATGCGGAGCCGGAGCCACTGGCGGAGCTCATCTGAGTCTGGCTCACCTCCACTGTGAAGCTCTGAGAAACCAGCTCCGTTTCGCTTTGGCTCTCAGGCGTCGCCTCCTTCTCACAGAGGATCTCCTCCGTGCGGTTTTGGGAAGGACTTCGAGATGAGGAAGAGCTCACCTCCTTAGCTTCACAGAGTCTGCAACCCTCTAGTCCTGATGTTGCGCCCCCCTGTGCCAACAAGTGAAATGACCCCGTCCAAGCTTCAACCTCCGACTCGCTCTCCAAGGGAAGTACCACCTCCGCCTTCAAGAATTGAAGGGACAACTTCTGTGCACTTGCAAGCTCCTGGATCGGCGATCAGGCTGTCATCGACTCCCACCACTCGGGCTAAGCTTAGAATGAGCCTTCTCTACCCAATGGCATGCGGACCAAATCTTAGTATGGCACCACCACTACTATATCTGCCAAACCAATCCCAACCATCTTCTTCACGGGGAATGCAGGTCACAGGCTCTGTCAGGCTTTCGTGTCTTATTTCTACCACTGGCTCGGCTACACAACAGGATCTCGCATCCCTAGTAGCTTCTTGTTCCTAGTAGCGTCCTTGCTCCTAGTAGTACGGCCAGGAGCCCCTAGGAGCGTCCTTGGTCCTAGTCACTAGTCGCGATGCCAGGAGCCCCTAGTAGCTTCTTGTTCCTATGCAGCGCGGCCTGGCACATCAACTGGAACTGACACTTCCCGTTGACACTCAGGAGTTCATCCCCTCGACGGAGGCCACGGCCTGCGTGGCGGCCGAGTACGCGCGCATACTCGGCCGACGAGTGTTTGAACCGGTGGGACGACACTTCAGAAGCATGGGCCAAATCAACCGCCGAAAAGGATTGGGTGGGAGCTCAGCATGACCATTGAAGATCCTTGAAGGAGCAATCCTCTGCACCCACGTGACATGTGCAATCCGAGTTTCTTCAACAAGCTCAAAAAGCTCATCCACTCGCACGTCTCCCTTCAACCCGGAGGTTCGACCCACACCTTGTGCCCGCAAGCGTGCGCGTCCTGCTGGAGACTTGGGCTCCAACCCGGCAATCAGAAATCTCCTCAACGTGGTGCACGGTGGTCCCCGAGATTTTTCTCCAACCATGGCTGGGCTGAAGAACAAGCAACCAGAAAGGAAAAGTGCGGCACAACATGCTACCATGTTCACAATCAAGCACATGATCTTGAGAGCAATCCGCATGCTTTTTTCATGGGTGGCACTAGAATCACTTTAGCAAATGCTGGCCCGAGCGTCTGCGCTTTGTAGCCCTGCACGTGCCAAACAAGTCCCCACGGCTCGCCGCGATCCAATCGCTCCAAATGGACCTCCATGTAGTCCTCCCGCTTCGAGCACCCAGGCATGGCCCGGGTGGCGAACAAACCACCGTGAACCCCCGCAGAGGATTCAGGTCGCAGCTCGAAAGATTCGATCGTTGAGCGGAAGGGGTGTAACACTCAAATCGCTTGAACCCAAACGGGAGAGTGTTACACCCCTGCTCCACAACCGAGCAGAAGACCCATCCCCTTCCACACCCTGCCGTGCCCCCCCGAGTTCCTTGGTCACATCGTCCGGTGCTTGGGACTTGGAAGGTGCTCGAATCTTGCGAACACCTTGGCAGCAAAACGGCGCTTTCGGAGTCTTCCACGTGGTCCGCATGGTCTCCAGGCTCAGCGGCACCAGCCTCAAATCACCTCCTGCAGCCTGGAGGCCACTGCACGTTGGGCGTGTGACCGCTGTTGCGAGGAAGGCGACGATAAACCTTGGAGGTGTAAGGCACTTTCAGGTCCGTACGCAGAAGGCCACCCGACTTTGGGGAACTACTCTGTGCACCTTGTGAGGAGGCTGACAAAAAATATGTAGCAGCGGGGAGCTTTCATGAACTTTTTGAGCATCCAGTCATGGCCAGTCTTTGTCAGAGCTAGGTCAATGATTCCAAACATGCAAATGACAGTGTCTAGTCTACTCCTCCTCTTCATCGGTGCATCGCAAGGCACATCAAGACCAGCCACCAACCCACATTCGCGAAGCTGAGTCCTGGAAATTGACTGCGCCCCACCCGTCAACCGTGATCAACAGGACCCCAACGCGTCGCTGGTACAGGACATCTGCACAACAAGTCGCCAACAATGAAGAATTACTTTTGCGGTTCTTCTGAAGGACGTGACATATCGCAGGAACAATGGATCACGAGTCCTTCATGAGTCCTACAGTAACCTTAGGAGAAAACAAAGACCTCAATTTATGTATGTGCATATCTGAATATCTATAAATATATATATATATATATATTTATATATCAATGTGTATGTATGTGTGTGTGTGTGCGTGAAGATGGGTACAGTATATATATATATATATCAATCTAGATGGACTGTCTCCATTTTCTTCCTCTTCAGGAGTGCCAGGACCAGCAACTGACAGTCTCAGCTCGCAGTTCTACCACCACGCGCCTTGATCTAGCAATGCTAAGAAATCCATGTTTGCAGCTTGGGCTGCCTGCGACGTCGGGATGCATTCGTCCATCCCTTCAGTGATTCACCAAAAGCAGAACTTCCCCCCATCACCTACAGCCCGCCTGTGAATCTCGTACAACTTGAAGCCAGGCCTGGGCAGCAACCATGCGCCCAGGCTCAAACATCACATAAGAATACATACAGTTACATACATAAGAAAAATGCACATTTTGAGGTGCATTACGGTGCATTGATATATTGTTTCCCTCTTTCTTTGGAAGCAAAACTCCAGCATCTCAATTGTTTGACTCAGGCTACTGAGGCAATAGATTCACACTCTTTTCGGGCCCCAATGCCAGCCAAGCCGCAATCAACCCCATGTGGGGGACACCCAGACGTTGAAATTCAGCGAGCACATCTATTCAAAGATACCACGGCTCCCTGAGCCTAAAAGTTAGCAGCGGGTCTAAGCGATCAGCGGCAACCCAAAAGCTGAAGAAGCACATGCAAGCACCCTCTCTTGATCTAGGAGGGTGAATGGACCCCCCGCTTCCGTTTTAAGCCACCTCCAAAACGCTCCCCAGCGTCCCACATCGCTCCCCTCACCACCCTTCCCAGGTCCAAACCAAACGCGGCACGGACGGCCTCTGTGGTTCGGTCGACGGGGACCTCACATCACTGCCGAAGCCCCACTCCATGGGCCATGTGGAGATTGCTTTTAACCGTGGAAGACGTATCATACATGTATTCCTTGTGTGTCCTTGCTTTGTGCCTCCTGAAAAGTAGAGAACACACAATGGGGCAGGATCCCATGTCCACCTGCTCCATCAAGAAGAAGCGCTGAGAGGATTCTTTCGATTATGATTTCACACCATCTTTCTGTGGATTTCTGGTGGGGAGCATCTGGGGCCCGCACCCACTCACCAAAGTCGCCTTCCACCTCCCAGCCGCTGGTGCGCCTCCAAACCCAGCATGATGCCACCAGACGGCTAAAGAGTGGCACTGGAGACCATGGAGTTTCTCCTAATCTAAGGTGGTACATGCTGACAAATGCTTGCCACAACTTCAAGCAGCTTACATATGGCACCCCAGCCACAAAGTCTCAGTTGAATGAAGGCATCAGTTGTTGATCATCAGTTCCCTGCCCATACTGTGGCCCGCAAGTGTTCTGGAACCACACTTGCCAAAACCATCACTGCTCAATGCTCCGGTACATGCATTCTGGGCGTCGCGCGGCGGTGGTTGAAAGTCACGTTTGCCATTCTGCATTGGCACCACCGTTGGTCAGTTGTGTGGTGTTGAAGCTGCTTCTTTAGCGCAAACTTTCACACGAGAAAGCGCAAAAACAACTAATGCTCAAAACAATATGATCCTCCCAACCACCTACATGAGGGTCTAGCATGCTTGGAATTACCATCGTGTTTTTGTTCAGGGCAGCGCGTCCATTATGGTCTGATTTTGTGCACTCTGCTCGTGCAAGCTTAAACTGTCTTTAAGCCAAGCGTATGCTAAAACAGCAGAACAGTTTGCAGGTATCAAAGTGCTGGCAGGATGTTCAGAGATAGGCTAGGTAGACTAGAGCCTGTCGTTCGCAGCCTGCAGAACAAAAAGCGTCAGACTGTTTTCCAGTGAGCCAAGCGCTCAGCTGTCGCTCTGAAGTGCTCAAATTATACGACGATCTCCACCTGGAGAGAAGTGTGGGGAGTCGCAGGAAATGTCCATCAGTCCAAAACTGTCAGTCAGTGTAATGCCTTCCAAAGCCTTATTGTTGTCAACCTGTTCTCACAAGGTTCGATCCTGGTCCCTTGGCCAATCACAGCACTGTGCAGCCAGTTCTCCTCTGGAGGGGCGGGGCAGTAGCCTCCGCTGCAGCCACTTTGGCCGCTCGCGTAGCATCCCTGCCATTTCCCAACAACAGCACAGAAAGGTCAAAGAACATAGTACAAGGAGAATTGGGTGGTGGGTGCTCTGCTTGACGGCCAATCAGGTTCTAGAAAGTCTTCAGCCTCCACTTATCAGACAAAGGGCCGTTACACCAGCACAACAGACAAAGCATACTAAAGACATGTTCTGGCTGAGAACTCTTTCCCATCCACTGCGCCACTGCTATAGGTCACTGCAGCACAGGTCACACTGAGATTCATGGTGCGAAGGGACCGATCATTCACCAAACCTGCCTTGTTGCTGGGGCAGTAGTGGTTGAAGCCTCACTACAACACGCCCATTCGCAGCCGAAAGTAGGCCTACTCAAACCGCAGCGGTGAGAGATAAGAAAGGCATCATAAGGCAGGTAGATTCCTTTGCCAACCCTGTTTGGTAGCCTCTCCTTCCAACCGCCACCCGAGCTCTCATCTGCTCTTTTTGCCAAGTCACGACAGGTGAGGCAGCAACCCCTTAGGCTCGAGCGCTTTGAAACCCGACACAGTGATCCCACCGTGCTCCCACCCTTCTCGCCCTACGCGCAGCATTGAGATCATTTCCTCAGCTTCCATAAGAAAGGGGGTTCACGCAACCAACTCCGAGACCTGTTCCGCAAAGCACGCCCCCCATTTCCTCTTGCCAGTGGCCCATTGTCCGGTGGCACTGGGCACCTCGAGTGGGAGCCCGACTGCAGCACAGCCTCCCGACAAAAACAAAGCATCAAATCCAAGAGAAACGCTTTTGGAGCCTCAATCTGCTTGGTTGGCCATGTTTCTATGTCACCTGGCCTAGTGCTGCGACAAATCATCTAGAATCTAGAACAGGCCTTCAAGGCCAACAGTCTAGAGCCATCCATTCACCATGTCTTGGAGCAGTGGAACAGCAACCCCCACTGCCTTCAGCAGCTGGTGATCCGAAGGCGAGCCATCACCTCGGCCAAGGTCACATGAACGGACCCAGGATTCAGTCTTGCTGAGACAAAAAAGAGCTCCAACCTAATTTAACAATAGCGATGGCCTCCAATCTAATAGCGATGAATCTGACAGAATGACAGACTTTGGAGAGAAACTTTCCCACCTGTCCCTCACATACCAAGACCCACGAGTTCCAGATCCGTCCACGACAACCGATTTGGGGAGTCGACCGAAGAAACAAAGCAACAGACCGACCATGAGTCTAAGAGTCAGAAGTACATTTCCCGACTTAACGGAAAAGAGCAAAAGGAGTGCACTTTTGGCTCCACTGTCACAAGCCCTCTGGAAAATGATGTAGTAGGCCTAGGTCTTCCCGAAGACCCTGACCTTGAAGGCACCCCAAAATGTAGATATTGCTGCACCACCTGGTGTCCGCAATCTACAGGTGACGACCTGTTCTATCAGTTGCGCACTGGCAAGAGTAGATCTTCATATCTATTCTGCTCAAGGCACTCGCACCCTTCCAAAGGACGGAAAATCCAGAGCTGCTGAAAATGTGGTCAGCCCCATTGTAGGAGGTGTCTGTGGCCTTAACCGGCACATGATGAATGGCAAACGCGGGAGCAGTTTTGAGCTCTCTTCGGCGTTTTGTCGCAGGACTATATACAGGCCTAAGTAAGTGGACAAAACTAGGCCAGCCTGAAATGGAAAGTTGTGCTAAGGCATGGCTGACGCATCTCGAACAAAAGCGGTTGGAAGTTAGTTGGAACACTGGACCTGGACCAACACCTGTGCATTGGCTGAGTTGCATCCAGCTGATAGGCCTGCAACAACACAACTCAACCAGGCGATGGGGCATCGTGCTGCGCTGCGTTAAACTTAAACTGTTTGCAAGCCTCAGACAGCTGTTTGATGGTGTCCTGGTTGCTGCCGCAGTTGAAGTCACCAGTAAAAATCACCACATCCTATGGTTGCATCATGCAGTTGCAAGAATGCTGACAAAAGCAACTAAACAATGCAACAAAAGCTGTGAGGATTCTTGCATCAAAGCAAAGAAGAGATGTAATCTTGCCCAAGGCCCAAGGGTCTTTAGTCTTCTTGTGCTGGTTCACAGCATTAATCTCAGCTGATCACTTCTGAAAAGCAGTTCCTCTCCACAAACCAAAATGCAAGTGGAGAACGTGCAGTTTCCTCATTTTGAGGCTGTGACCGTTCCGCACGTTTCAATTGACATGAACTTGCTTCGGCAAAGCCACGGGGCGCGGCAGATTCGTGGCGCCGATGCAAATTTCTGCTGCTAAGGGACATAATTCGTGGCAACAGTACCGCCGGGTTTGCCGCCGCACTGATCCAAGGGCCCATGCCTCATTTTTCATGCAGTGTTTCCGTTTAAATCGTTGGCTGATTGAACCTTCAAGGGCTCAGGCAAGGTGATATTTTTGGGATGCATCTGAGTCAAATTATTTGAGTGTACAAGTTGTTGTTTCATATGCTCTACTGCTCGGAGCCGTCCGCATTGACACTGAGTGTTTGCGCCCAGCTGGCCTTCCTGGACGAGGCACGTGTTGGCGAAAAGGATGGTCTCACTACTGCCCACCACCTGGCCGGTCAGGTGACCCTCCAACACAAGCACACCCCACTGTGGTCACCTGACAATTGAAAAAAGAACTGAACCATGACAAACCAAACACAATACAACAAACAAACCAACAACAAACACCTCTGGTCAACCTGCTGGAATCCAACTGTCGCGCCTGTAGCCTGACCCAATTCACATGGCGATCGCCGTACTTGTCCCTGAGGAAAAACAAATGCATTGTGCACACCACTCCCATCGGACTGCGTAACTGGAAAAGCCATCACGCAGGTATTGGTACCCAAAACAAATCACATACAGTATACACCCGGTATACCTGACAAAAACGAACTGAAATGACACAGAAAATCCTGTCACCAATCAGCACAACAAAACACCCGCAGCCCATCCAGCAGGATTCACACACATTTGGTAGGTTAACGCTTAAATATATATATATATATAATAGCAACATTGGTGAACAAACTAAATGCACATACACATATTCACAAGCAATTGTGAAAATCTACATGATCGTTTGAATTCACCGCTGCTTCTGCTCATGCCGCTGGAACCGCGCCTGGCGACCCACACCACACCTGGACCTTCAATGGCCGTGAACTTTTCACCGTTCCAAGCCATCGGCGCGTCGTTGCCTGACCATTGGAGATTCAGGCTGTCCTTCCAGAGAACTGGAGTTGGTTTTCTCAATGGTTCGATGGACATCTCCTGATCTACGGGTGGGGCAGTTGCAAGGTCCAGACTGGGTCCCGGCACAATTGTGAATTCCAGCCCTAATCCAAACATGTGATGCAACAATCCCTTCACACAACTTGACGCGTTGTTGCCCGAATCTGCCTGCTGGAGGAGTGAAGTACTTAAAATTCGGAGTGAGGCTGGTGCCGGCGACAATTTGCCCTGCCGCTTAGCACGAGAATTTGAAGGCCGAGGTTACTAAACCATACTAAAGAACATTTTGTAATGTCACACGTGAAAGTGCGCCACAAGGCGAACAGCTCCCTCCAGCCTACATTGTCACACTCTTGGAAGCCGATGAGGTCAAAAGGCCCATTTTGCTGTAATCTCGCATAAATCTGCGCGAAACCTTTGCCACCAGCATATTGTGGACACCTCCCTGTTTCATCTGATACGCACCACCAATACAGATTGTAGGTCACAACCTTGGCGGCTGGTTTGGCGCGGAGCCATGTGAAACAACTGCTTTGATGCGATGGACAAAGCGCAAATATACCCACAGAACCCTTTTGGTAGAAACTTGATTTGAAGCAACTAAGCCCGACTCTGTCCACGACGGTGCGCCAGCAGTATCCCCAGTGGTCCAATTTTGTGGGGCATGGGCCGTAGCTGTCAAGTTGTTGGTATTAAATGTCGAAGATTGCGCAACCCATGGCAGTAGCAAGGCCAGGATGGTCATCAAACTCGCCATCCCCCTAGCTTGTGCACTTTTGGAACCAAAATTTCTCATGCAAACCAATGTTGCGCAAGAACGCAGAAATTGCATTTGCCCTGGCAGAACGAACAGGCCCCAATGAGCACGCCTTACATATGGCTACTTTATGAATTATGAACAGAAGATGGGGGGGGTGGTGTGGCCCCTGCACGACAGCCTATGAAAGCCTTGATGGGAGAGTTAATGATACGCCTGGTGAGCAGATTGGGAACCATGACTTGCCTCATGGGCGACCGGGTGAGAGGGCTGATGTGATGAGGGTCTTCTTCAGGGATTGGGCCCACATTATAACCCTGGTTTCGGTGCTGCCCTGGTGCTTTAAAACATGGCAACGTAGCCCGTGGCAAAACGTGGCCGACACTTGAAATATTTCGAAACAATAAACTCTTCAATTGCTACCACGGTTTGATCCAACCCAAGTTTGTTTCCCTATTTTGGTTCCCTGTGGAGTTCACTTCCCGATCTGGCAGCATGTTGTGAGCACGCGAATGTCATGTTGTCATCATGAATTTATGTTTGCGCGTTGTTTTCAAAAAATTCGTTTTAAAGAAACCGACATTCAGGCTGAATAACTATTGCTGATGATGGCACAGTCGTGCGTTTTCTACCCCGCACAGCATGACAATGAGATCAATCCCAGAACGGCGGTTTGCAACACGCGCGGCCGGGGTTGGATTCCTGAACAGCTTTGGCCTGCAGCAACAGGAGGCTTCTGTACAACATGGAAGGCTTTCCTTTTCCTTTCCCTTGTATTCCAAGAGCCGTTTGTCATTGAGTTATCACAAAGTTTACATGGCATGTCAGCGTCTCTACGCTCTGAAAATGGCATGGCGTAAGCTCTGCCCACTGTTCCTGACGATTGTGTTGGTCTGTGCGCAAAAATGAGGATGTGCCAGCGTGCTCTGTGTTGGTGCACTTGCCAATAAACCTGTCGCTGAAGCCATAGCCTCGACCTTGTCCATAGGTCCAAGCTCTTGCCACCAACTGCCTCAACCTTTTTGTCTTCTCCTGTTTCCTTTGTACTTACCTTTTTTTTCAGACCTTTTTACCGCCGGTCTCTCTCCCCTAACCTCGACTGTGTTCGCCTCAGCTGGCTGGCAACAAGTGTCCCACCGAAAATCGAACCGCCGAATCCAGGCCTGGAAAATCCAAAGTTAAACCCACCAAGAAGTCCCAGACGGTGAGCCCGCATCCGGGCAAGGCTGTCAGCCGAGGAGTGGGAGTCGGCTGGGCCCGGCTTGGATGTCGAGGTGTTGTGCCAAAAGTTCACCGAGGGGTGGTGGATCTCCATCCAGGTTGGAAGGACCAGCGGGTGGCAAGAAAAGCAACGAGGTTGCGAAGGCTTCCTGGGCGATCAGGCTGTCCGAGCTTTGGCTCGAGCAAGTTGCCGGAGAAAAGTGGTTGCCTCCTCACTCCAACGCCCTCCAACTTCCGTGGCCAGGACGACTAAGCGACATCTCCCGGGTCCCTGCCGCTCCGGGTGCGTGCATTCTTTTGCTCGTCTGGCGTCGTGCAGAGCTGTTGCTGCGTATTGGCCTCCTCGGCGGCGTGGGCAACCGTCGCTGGCGAATGGGAAATGAGGGCTGTGTCGATGCCAGCTGGGACCCGTTCCACAAAAGTAAGCCTTTGGCGATCACTTCGATCCTGCGGTCGTCGCAGCGTTGGACGGAGCTGATGTTCGGGTCGGACAGACGGGTGTGCATTGTGACTCGTGCCCCGGCTTCTCTGCAGACTCTTGCTGCCGCATTTTCGAGTGGCGCTCCGTGGGCGCGGAGCACCCCGGACGGGGGCAGGCTGCCCGGTGGTCGCCCAGTGGGTCAAGAGTGCGACTGCGACGCCACCGGCAAGTGCGCTCAAACAGGGGTAGGGGGAGCCGAAGGCGGCGGAGCAGGAGCAATCCGAAGATTTGGGGAGAGTATGTGACTTCTGGTGAATATGACTATGGGATGGTTGTGCAGGCTCGGCTTGTGAATGGGCCTGATTGGGACTGGAGTTTGGCTTGTCCTGCCGGGTCCAGAGAAGAAAGGTGCTGCGGCTTGCCGTTGCCAACCTTGCTGCAGAACCCCGTCCAGTCTTGACGGAGGTGCCGGAGGAGGATCAACAGCGAGCAGGTGTTCCCAAGTTGGTGGGTTCCAGCCGTGTTGTTGGATGTGCTCGGTTGTTTGGCTGACGGCTTGGAACTGTTTTGGTGCTGTGGTGGGGTTTGACCGTTGTTGTAGCAAGGTTGCTGCGAGATCGGGCACTTGATTGTGTATGACTGCCACTGCATCCGCCCATGAGGCCCAGTGGGCGGCATGAACCAGACAGGTGGCCGGAGAGGAGCCAGTCCTCCTTCTTCTGCCAATGGAAGGGTGGCATTCGCAACAAAAAGTTGCTGCGGGGGCTGGCCGCGTGCAGGACCAAGAGCCATGATGCTTGTAAGTCGTCGAGGTGCGGCAGTTGCTGCAACACCTTCGCCTTCTCCTCTCAAATCGGTGACTTTATCGACTTCCATTGGTTGGGTGTCATCTGTGCTTGCGCGTGCGGGATCGTGTGGCCAAGACCTGCTCCTGGGAGAAACTTTGTTGCTTCTGAATGGAGATGTCCGTCACAGAAAGTTTGGCATATTTTTTGAGCTTCTGTGGTGCACACCTGCTCAGTGTGGCCGTCTTCAGGCCACTTGGCTAGGTCGCTTTGCCAGCTGCATCACCATGTACTCGAGTTGCAAAAATTGTTTCATCATGCAAAGGTTCTGGTTGAAGTTGGGGTGTTGTCCAAGTGCCTGAGCCAATGCCAAAGCCATTGCCACGCTGCAGGAAAATGTTTTCTGCGCATCAGATCCATCCTTGGCTTGTTGCTTTGGTTGAACTAGTTGAACACATTTTTCTTTCAAATTGGGGCTCACAATCCCTTTTCCTCAGGTGAATTGCTCACTGTTTCACTTTTTTCTTCTCCAGCGGCAGGTGTCTCTCAGAGTTGCGACCGTGTTCGTCACAGCGGGCCGGCTACACATTCCGCACACAACCGCAAATCTTTTTCCCGCAGGACAGGGGGTGAGACGAAACCCTGTTTTATAATGTTTTCTACTGGCCAGGGTCCAGCTGTGCTTAATCCACGGTGGTGGATGAGGGCAGGCGGCTGGGAGTGGGCGCACCGTCTGTGTAAGAAGTCAGGAGCTCACAGATCGGCGGGCAGGGTCGACCGCTAGCTGGAAGCCATTCCAAAGGGGAAGGCCATTTGCTATCACCTCTATCCGCCGTTCATCATGGCGGGTGGCGGATCCAGCGGCTGTTGACATCGGCAGCGCGCTGGCATGAAGGGCAGGGCAGTCGAAGACGCTGGAGGAGCAGAAGGCGGAAGTGAGACGAATCCAAGACGAGCTCATGGGAGACAGGGAACAGGGTGAAAATTCTTGCCGCCAATGGCCCGCACTGGGATTCCAAAAGATGTTGTGAGGGAGCTGTAAAATGGGCGATGTGTTCCTGCTTGAGAGCTGTGTCGGTGATGTGGGAGGCGTGTCGTTGCCATCCTCGGAGGGTGTCTGCGTGGTCATGGGGTGATGTTGGAGCCGGTGGTGCTGGCTGGCATTGGGTGCAGGGCGGGGCGTCTAGCCCCAGGCTTGTGAGAAAAGCCGTGACGTGTTGCAGGCATTGGAGGGATGGTAGCTCTGGGTTCTCGATCTGCTGTTGGATCGTGTCAAAAACCTGTGGCATTTTCTGGCGGAGGATGGGCGTGGGGTCCTGCCATGAGGCCCAGTGGGCTGCTGCGGTGTCGATGGCTGGCCGGGGCAGTTCGTTGGGCTGTTGCAGCAACCGCCTTAAACATGTGTGCACTGCGTTGTCGCGTTCTGTGGCAAAATGCTTGGTGAGGTCAGGGCAAATCCCGCGCAGGGCGTAATGGACTCGGGGCGACGGGCAGTACAAAAGGAGCAACCAACTGGTTTGGAGGTCTGGGATGTCGGGCAGCACTTCCAACAATGGTTGTTGTTTCGCCTGAAGCTGACGGAGCTCTGCTTGGATGTACTCAATGCTGCCGACTGGGATGTACTCAACGCTGCCGACTGGGAGGCCCAGGACCTTGAGCCCTTGCTGGTGTGCTGGCAGGTTGGCGTCGCCGCATTTGGACTTGTGATCTCGGGGAAAATGCTGGCCCACATCATTGTTGAGATGCGGTCCAACACAACAATGGCAGATGAATGTCCAAGCAAAACCAAGTCGTCGGCAGGGCCGGCCTGCAATCAGATGGGAGGATTCGCTATCAAATTTTCGAAAAACTCACCAAGAAGTGTGGTTAGATGTAGCGCAACGCCCGTTGCTATGACTTGCCGAAGCGCAAGCATTTGTCCAATTGTGCCCGTCAATGCGATTCTTGGGTTGCCGGTGTCCTTACAGGACCGTAGTCGTCGACTCGAATGGGCGGAAATTGAAGAAGGGTCCGGGTTGAGCAGGACACTCATGCGACGTTCCTGGCCATAGAAGGTTCGAAGAAAGCCTCCCATGTTTCCAACATAGTAATCGCACCCAAAGATGGATCCTTTGGGGTGATAAATGCTTAGGGCGCGCAACCATGCCGACCGGTGTTGGCCTTGATGGCCATGATGAGTTGGCTATGTGGAATATTTCAACGTGGACACACTGGTGGCTAGAATGGCCACCAAATCTGGAAAAACACACATCTGGAATGCTGCCGGCACCGAGCCGCCCAACGTCAGAAACCTTGCATCCGTCCGCCAATGTTTGTCATCAAACCTGGCCGTCCCACAACTCTGCGAAACATGCGCCGCCTCAACGCATCCAATTTGACATCAGCAGCGCGCCTTCCTTGAACTAGTGTCTTGGGGTGCTTTTGAGCTTCTGACTGCCAACGGTGACTGTGGATTATGGCACGGCTAGTGGGGATGTGGCCAAGATGAGCAATGGCGTGGCAACATGCATCTATGGGATGCAATGTTGGATTACGTTCCACTGTGCACCCAGCAACAAAACCCCGAAAAACGGCAATGTCCCAAGTGGGGCCGGGGCCCATGTTGCAAGTGCCTGCTGAAAACCCAAGAAGCCTCAGCTTCCAAGCTTACCCACCAAGGGGTCAGGCCACAAGTGGCTGGGCTGCATGTGCCCAATCCCTAGGAACGAAGTACGGTTTTGTAGCAATCATGGTTTCTTTTATGCACGCGTGCAATCTGTTTTCAGCAACCCAAAAGTGGAACACAAAGACTGGGAGGGCTTTACGCAAATCCTCCGCCTGTCTCCTCACTCAATGTCATGTACTGCACAACGGGGTCTGCGCTGTTTTTTTTCCGTCAGCCGTAAAGCCCTCTTCCTCCAATACGTTTCTTGGGCTAACGTTTGACCGTGGTTGACTCGGTAATAAAGTTTCGCGCGTGCTGTGCCCGTGCGCCCTATGGCACGAAAACGTGTTAATGACTGATGTCCGAATTCGTGAATTGGTCACGTGTATTGTGTCTCCTCCGGTTTTGGGTTTGAGTGCCCAATGAATGAAGCTGTCCATAAACGGAACCTACGTATGCATCAAGTTGTGGATGCGGCCGGTCTTCAAACTTGGTCAGCCCAATTGTCCAGAAAATGTTAGCTGCTGATCGCAAGCTTTGGCGGGCACTTGCTTGGGTACTCCAAGCGGTGGAACCAACCGTGGGAGGCCTCAACATAACTGGCCGCAGCGCCCTGCAGTATTCTAAATTCGCGCGGGCTTGACGCTCGAGAACTTGTTCACCCAACTATTTTTTGGAGTTTCTGAGTTCATTCTTTTTGGCTTGCGGAAGTGGTGACAAAACCGGCGCGCATCCATCTGCCTCTCTTTGGTCTCACCTGTGGCATCAATGGGCTGCCCCTTTCGGGCGTACAAGTTTCGTGAGATCGCTCATTGATTGTCATTAACCATGGAGGACCAGCAATGATTCTTTTGGGGTGCATTGTTCGGCTGCCTTGAGGTGCTGGTCTTTTCCTTTTTGCCTCCGAATGTGTCTCACTTTCAGTGGAGGCCTAAACGTTGAAAAGCATGTGTTGCATCCAAACAATCCTGTGTCCCACGAACAACCCCCACGCACAACAGTCCTCCTCCGTTAGCGAACCATTTTTGAGACAATTATTCTCGCAATGTTTTGACAAATGTTTCACGTCAGTGCTGTTTCGGCACTCCGTGGGTCCCAAAGGCCATCTCCAAAAGAAAGGACTTTGGCACAGGATATGTACGAATGCAACTTTACGATTACAAGTAACGCACGTGGTACCCAGTCTCCGGAATGCGGTTTTTGCAACCTACTTGTGAAAGATTCATGCGCAATTCCGCTTGCCCGACGCACATTGACAAGGTACACGCGGGGGTTGTTGCTGCTGTTGCACTTTTTTCCGACAAAATCGAAACAAAATCCGGGACCGTCAACCGCCAGTGCACGGCGCGACCTTGTCCAACCACGCGTCCCAATCAAAACATCAAGCTGGTTCAAACACACCTGCAAAAACTCAAAAGGCACGCCGTGTTTGACACCTCCAGTTGGCGAAGGGCTCAACATGAACCCTCTCCTGCGCAATCCGAAAACGGGAAGTGCTTCACGCTCACCTGTTAGTAAAAGTGTTGCTGCCTACCGGGGGGGCAGCAATGAACGAAACAAAACAAACGAAAAACTACCAGGTTGGAAGTTGATCCGGTATTTTTCATATACGTTACTTCTAAATGTTCCCGGGAGGTGCTCACCATGGCGCCGGATGCGGCACACGCACAAACCCTTCTCAATCGAACTACCTGCTGAAAGATTCATGGCACGCACTTGCTCCCAACACTTTCAGCCCACTTCCCTTTCAGCTGTCCAGGCCATCTTGTTTCTCTATGTTGGGTGCGTTTTCATGACCACTTGGGACTAAGTTTGGCATCGCTGAAATCCAATGGTCCAAAGCGAAGAGGATCGCCCCATCTTCAACCATTTACGACCGTGCAGGCGGTGGGTCCCCGTGACGTCCATCAGCGGTGGGCCAGGGAGGTAGTCAACACAGGCACCATGTGCAGTTTTGCATCTCCAAACTTTCAAGCTGCCGAGCGCTGTTTTTGTTTTGCCTGAACGCTGTACATGGCAACTAGTCAAGCATGCCGTTGACGGCCTTTAGTAAAAAAGAATTGCGACCTGACGAGATCTCCAGGATAAGGTCACATCGAAATTGCCACAATCGAAGGATGCGGCCATCCCCACAAACCACCGCGGTTTGAAATTAGCAAAGCGCCAGCACAACAATCAGTTTGACTACCCATGAAAAGCTTTGGTTTGTTGGTGCGCTGCCAAGCAAAAGAAACATAATCTGGCACAAAGAACAACAACCTGATCGTTTTGGAGGCTTCGGAAAGCCTTTTGAGGCCATCAAAGCAGCCCAAGCCTCCCAGACGGGGGGCTTGAATATAAACAAAGCCCAGGGATTGTAGCACAAAATTCCCTGTTACACGTGCGCGTCCTCTGATTAGAGTTTCAACATCCTGTTCAACGTCCGCCATCCATCCAAGCTATATGTATGTATAGTGATATAAATATATATATATATATAACCCCTGAGAAGGGGGGACGAAAGCCAGCAGCCGCCAGACGAGTGTCTCTTTTTCTGGCGGGCATCGCGGCACAACACACATGGTCGGCAGCTTGAGAGTGAGCGGTGCCGCGGGTGCGGGGGGGGCGTATGCAGTGGTGATTGAGGGAGCAGAGAAGCAAGCCGGGCGGCTTTGGGATAAGTTTGGTATGAAAGGAGTAGCGAAAGAGAAATGCGATACGTTGTATGTTGGTATAAGTCATCATCACTCACAAGGCAATGGCTGTGTTTGTCACGCGCAGGAAGGCATGCGTCTTATGGAAGTTGGAAGGCGACATCAGCGTTAGCGAAGGGAAAATACCGTCTGAGTTCGAGTGGTGGGATACCACGCGCGCGCGCCGCGCTTCTTCATAGTGAGCGTCGCCGCGGCATGCATTTGAAAAGAAGCAATTATGCCTTTGTTACATTTGGAGTGTTTGAAGTTTGCAACGCATACTGCGGCACTTAGCCGGGACACGGACGTTTGATCCTGTGGCGTAGAAGGGGATGTCCAGCAGGAGTAGCTTGGGCTAGCAAAGGAGTGAGGATTTGCGCGCCTATCGATGCACATGCCTGGACTTGAGTGAGTCATGTTCTGGCTCAATCCAAAACACAATCTTTTTCCTTTAAAGGGGCCTGGATTAAACGACCCAAACACCTTCTTTATTCTTCTCTTTCTTATCAACTCTGCGCCTTTCTCACTCAGAGGCCTTGACTTTGGCACCTGCGTGTGTAGATCTTTGGGCCGTGGACCCAGGCTGACTGGATCCGGCCAGGGCTGCCAACAAAAAGGCGACGTCATGAATTGATCTATCTATCTATCTATCTACATCTATCTATCTATCTATCTATCCATCTATCTATCTATCAACATATCTATCTCTCTATCTTTCTATCTCTCTATCTCTCCATATCTGTCTCTCTATCTATCTACCTATCTATCTTTTTATCTATCTAATCTAATCTAATCTGATCTATGTATGTATGTATGTTTGTATGTATGCACGTATGTATGTTCGTATGTATGCATGTATGTATGTATGCGTGTGTATGTATGTATCTATCTGCACTGGCAAGCCGGAAATACGTTCGGGGCGTGTGGACGCCGCAAGAAGCATCCGCTCGACCGAGGACATGGTGCGAGTATAGTTTTTGCTAGGGGGCAGGAACCCTACGCGAATATGTAGTCAACCTCACAGGCATCCCCGCCGAAACTCAATCCAAATTCATGGCCTTGAACTCATGTCACTTTCGGTTCTCTATGGATTTCGTGGCTCTACCGGTTACTTTGAAACCCTTGCAGAATTCATCAAACAAGTTAGGGTCGTCAAAACTTGTCTCCTCCAAGAATTCCTTCCACAGAAGGAGGTTTTTCCCTTCCACCACCTTGGCGATCCTGGGGTCAAGGCTGGCGTGCAATTCAAGCTCTTGGGCCCTGAGTCTATCCGCTCGCACTTGAACCTTCTTCAATGCCAGCTTTCGTCTTGCGATGGTGAGCTTGGGTCCATCTGAGATCAACTTTGCAACCGCCTCTAGCAAGGCGTCAGGCAATGGGAACGCATAGTCAATCGGGTGCTTGGCCGTCAATGCGGCATCAACAAAAACCTCAGGTTCACGAAAGACACCATAGAGTTCCTTTGGGTCGGCTTGGGAAAGTCTGATTTCTGTTTTGCGTGGATTGCTGACCTTTGCTCTTTTCCCTTCTGCTCGTGACTCCCCATTTTCTACAAAGGATGGCAACTTGGACAATTGCTTGAATGGCAGAGAGTGCGGGCGCTGATCTGTCACGACGGCATATTCGGACACGATGGGAGGAAGTGCCCGGAGGCCGTGCTTTGTGGGGATTGAACGTTCAACCAAAGCTCCTTGGGGGTCGAAGGCAGAGTTTGGGAACTGAGCACCCCTCTTACTGCACTCTGCAACGAGGGCCAAAGCATGTGTGTGTGACACAGTTCAGCGGGATATGCAGCTTCTCCTTGAGTGGGAAAAACAGGGTTGAGCTGTTAGTCGAAGCTAGGCTTGAACGACTCGTGCTGGTGACCCCCTGGACAGCGCTGGCGGAGACGATCAAACACCCCTGGTGTGGATCGCCAACACTTCCAGGTGGCACGAGTCCCTCCATGTGCACAGGCTTGAAAGTGAACATCTTGCAAGGAATGCCAAGCAGCCGAAAAACAACTATTGCTCTCTGCAAAATGCAGCATGACTAACCAAAAGTACGAGCGACTGGGGTTCTCCACACTTACCATGGCATTGCGAAGGCTAAGAATGAGAACAGCTAATGCAGTGAAAGCATACAACTGGTTGGCACTGTGAACACGAGCCTGATCCTGAGGTGTAAGATTACTCATACCTAGGGGCTGAGCCTCGGATCGCAGAGGCGGTGCATGCACATGTCGCATCTCCTGAGGCAAAGGCTTGTCCCTGGCCCGGGATGAGGTACCGCACGGTGGGGCGGCGTGTCCTGAGGCAACGTTGGCAAAACACAAAGCATGCAACATCACGGCTTGATCACTGGGGCTCGTGAGATCTAACTGCAAAAGATGGACCTTCGGTTTCCGTTCGGAAGTGCAGTCCACGGGCAAAACGGAAAAATGACAATCCTTGAGAGATCGAGAAAGCGTAGCAGTCCCTGCAAAGAGTTCAACACACAAAAGCTGCTCACTGGTACACTCGAAAGAAACTGGCTTGAGATCACTCAAAGGGCAGGGCAAAACGAAGGAAAATCCTGACAAAGCAAATTTGGTGTTCTGGCATGCAAATGTGGGCCTACTGGAAAGGTCCAAATGACCTGTCTTCGGCCCGGTTTGTCACGACTGGTCACATCCGCTGAAGGGATGCTTACCATGGCATCCCTGCTTCCAGCACACATGCACACCACGATGACACTTGTCTGCGTTCTGTCGATTGCATCTATCTCGATTGTATTGAAAGCAAATTCGAGCTCCTGCCGGTGTTGTCGCGACGCAATCTTTCGGCAGACTGACACTGCCCTTGCCAAGACCCTTCTTCCCCCCCTTGTCGCCTTTCGAATCCTGTTTCAAACGCTTTCTGGGGGGATCTTTTGGCTCTTTCTGTGACGCTGGCAACGGCAACAAATGATAACGAATCTCGGCACTCTGCTGCAACTGGGTCAGAGCTTGATCCAAAGGTTTGGGAGTAGCCAACAAATTCTTGCCCCGAACTTCTTGCGCAGCATGCAACCATAGTTCCTGATCTGCCTGCACCAGTTGTTGCAATGTCACCGCGCGATATCCTGAAGCGGGTTCCTTTGTCAGGAGAGCAAACCACCCACTGATGATCTTGTCTTGCACTAAGAAGGATGAGACACCGGTCATATGATACGCTAAGGCCCTGCGCTGGAAAGCCATCTTGAGCTTCAGGTCCCCCTGAACATCAGCACGCTGCTCCTTCTGCTTCTTGGTCAGCCTCAAAGTGCCATCACCTGAAAATTCAAGGGCAGACTCATGCTTGTGATTCAGGAGTTCGGACGCACGACTCAAACATTCTTTCAAAGGAAGGAAGCGAATGCAATTGTCCTCAACTTGTTGCTTTACCATGTCTACGAGTTTATGTGCAGGCTCGAGCTGAAGATCGATTGTGATTCCTGGCAATTCCTGTTTGAGAAGGTCCAAAAGCTGGGATCGCTCTGCCATAGGAATCTTGCGTGGGGCCTCACCGTCTTTGCGTTCAAGGCGAGACCTCAAGTCTCCCATGGCTAACGTGTGTGCCTCATAATACAAGCGCCTGAATGATGACAACTCGGCTTCAGTAAAGGCAGTTGGATTCACTTGCAACGCAGCTCCTAAAGCACGAACAAACGGTGTTTCATCGGTTCCCCCTGGCTGGAACGAAGAAATGAATGCAAAGGCTCCGAACGTGTCCAGTTGCTTTCCGGACAAGGGTGCCACATGAGTTTCACTCACGCCTACCGCCTTGGCCCTTTCTGCAAAGGCCGCTTTGGAGTCCATGGGTCTAACAAGGCTATCAAAAGGATAAACATGCAAGATCAGTGATTTTGAATCTTGAAGGAAGAGGACAATGGTACAGGTAAGCTCCCAATCAAACTCACTTGGGACACCTCATGTTGAGCTTGGGTCTTATTGCTCAGATTGTCTGAAAAGGACAAACCGAACACTTAAGATACGGCGATTGATATTTACTGCTGTCATGCTGTCCTTGAGCAGCATACAATGACGGTCATTCAATCACCGTCCAATGGCAACGCTTCGTCTCATGCACTGTGCACAGTGGTGAAGCGCAAACAATTCAATAACTCAGAAATAGAACGTTCATTGTTCTTGAACAATGCTTCGTCACACGAAGCCACAAGTACTCCAAAACTCGTGACAATAAGGTAAAGGTAAGTCTATCGAAGATTATCGGCGCGCGTGATGAACCTGTGACAAACGCGCGCGCGCGCGAACATCGCGGGCTATCATCTCAAGCTTGGCAAGCACAATTGCACGAGAGCGCAATATGAGAACCAAATTGATTGAACAAATAAGATCCACTGTGGAACACTCGTGAACAAGTACACCCAACAAAAGACAAGAAAATAATCTACAACCACACAATCGCGCCACGAACTTTCTCTTATAGAGCGAAATGCGAATCTCAATCCGGGCAAACCTGGGCTACAAGCTCCTCACCTCCCGATCTGCGACACTGCCGGCAAAGCGGCCATTTCACAACCAAATCCTCTTCAACAATGGCATACGCCTTTGAGATCTTCCTGCCACATGTTAGCTTGTCATGCGACGCAACAAAGTGCAGGACTCCACTGGACCGGTGCTGTGTCACTAGGCCCGCTGCCTTTTCAGCATCTATGCACACAACATCAAGCTCTGCCTGGTCAGCGCCGTCCTCAATGTCGAGCGCATTGTCAACATCGGTGCCGTCGCTCATGACTTCATCGACAGCCGTTGGTGGTCGAAGCCCAACGACAAAACCATCATCTGTTGCGCCTACCTCCATAAGCAGTTGGTTCACCTGCCTATCCACCTGGGCTGCCCGGGGCAAATCTGGATCGAACGTCCCATCAGCCATCGTCCTCAACATCATGGCCAAAGGGACCTGAAGCCCGACCGCATTGTCCCTGCTGTAAGTCAGTGGTGCCCTGCTTCCTGGGTCAACGTGATGACCTAACGCTCGCCTTTGCTCAAAACTCAAAGTGCCACTGATGGTGACCCAAGTCAAAAGTGTTGCCTTGAGTCCGTGGGTTGTCAAAGATGAACCTGTAATCCTATAAGTCGCCACAATGTCACGCAACCACAATGCACCCTCCGAAGCTATCATAGCACGATTGACCCACTCTGAGGTCTGCTCCGAGAACGCAGGGAGGATGAAGGGCCTGGCGTTCCTGAGCACCCCTCAGGTCCATCCAATTCTTGGCCCAACTTTGCTCCCTGAAGATTCGGCCGAGACCGACAAGGGGGAGGAATACCGACTGTCTGCTATGCACATGAGCCGTCTTGTGAACCCTGGCCCTGGCCTCGATCAAGACAATGTTACCCGATTCCGAGACTTGCCAGTCGAATGCATATATGGGGTCAGAAAAACGACACCAAGCCACAAAGCAAAACAACAAGTACCCAGCACTGATTCTGATGCAAGGATGGTGGCTGCAATCCAAGACAAAGTCCTCCCCAAGGCCTGAACTTCTTCTTTGTATAGAGCTCGAGCCTGTTGGAGAGGCCTCTTGTTGTTGGCCATGGATTTCACAATACCCTTGATTCGTCCAGAAAGATGAAGGGGGTCAAATGTTGTCATACCACAGGTTGCGTGAACGAAGTTTAAACACTGGGTAAAGGCCTGACCGTGCGTTGGGGCTTTGCCATCCCTTTTCGCCTGAACCAGATATCCATAGACAAGCTCCTCAGAAAACACAACGCCGATCCGATTGCACGCGGACTTGAGCCACAAGAAGTAAAGCCACAAGGACCTCGACCTCTTGTACAACGTCGCACTGCTCTTGGATGCAAAAGTGTCTTCAAGAGTTGACCAATAAAGTTCATCCTGACCGTTTGTTTTGCACAGCGCCAGTTGGATCCCCAGGTTCGTGGCTCGGGGATCGGATTCAAAGATCATTCTGAAGAGCAACAAACTCCTATGTCGCATATCATCATGGGTCAGAATCTTTGCGGCTACAAGCTTCCTCTGCGCAGCATGTTTCTCAAGAGACGATTCGTCCCCCGCAGTCCTGGACATAGTTGGAACATCCACTGCAGTCGCTCTGTCCAGAAAACCCACACTGCTAGACTCAAAGGAAACGGATGGCTGCATAAATGAAGCTGGATTGAATATTGCACAAAAAGGAGGAGCTTCCCATGGCATCTTGACCCTTTTGGCAAACAATCCTGTAACTGTCATCCTATCAATGTCACCCCTCAATGACGTTCCCAGTTCCGAGTCACTCCCCCTTTTCGTCCCTGCAGATCATCTGCAACTGTCCCGCATTCAATGCGCCGCCTGGTTCGGCTTTGTGGACAACGTGGAGGCTCTTCGGAACTCACCACCTGTGTCTTCCGACAGTGATGTAGAGAAAACACCAGATCAAATAATGATGCCTGGAATACCAGAAAAACATCAATTGGGTCAATCGGTGTACCAGGAAGCGATCAGGGCGCCACCGAATCACTGCGTTCGTTCAAAACTGTTTTTTCCACGAGTACGGACGCCGTGTGGGCATGGTGCCCAGGTCATCGTTGAAGGAAGGGAAGAAAAGACAGATGGTGGAGAAAGGAACGAAGACCCCAAAAACCAACCCAAAAACCAAACACCCAGGCCCGCAGGCCGACTCCACCATCTTGTAATCTTCCCTATACACTAGGTGAAACGTGTGAAACTGAGACTAGTGACAACTAGTGGGCCTGAATTCGCAAAAGAAGCGGACTGCAGCGCAAGCTGTGTTCATGGAAAGCCGCCTAGAAGGCTTCAAACGGACTTTCCTTACCAAGTGTTGGTGACCAGCGGCCACACCACAGTGTGGCAAAACAAGGTCACTTTGCAGGTCAGGTGTCTCGCAATGCTCCAGCAGTGGTTGTAATCAGGCCATCCGAATGTGCGAAGTTCTAAGCAGCAATCCATGGAAAAGACCATACTTGTAGCACAACCCGTTCAACCGGTGGCGCATACAAGGCCAGTCACATGCTGCCAGACAGAATTCAATTACGGTGGCAATTCCTAGCGAGAGAAGCCTGCAGCTAAGGGTGAATCGGGCACCACCTCCCCTTGGGGAGGCAGACCCAACACCCTTCGGCACTCAACGGTGCCAAAAAGGGGATGTCACTTGAGTCTGTGCGGCGCTGTTTGATGGCAAAAGGTGAGAGGTGCGTGCAAGGCCCGTGTGAAACCTGTGAAACATTGAGCTCTCCTAGCATGATATCTGTACCTCTTTGTACAAAATTGGAAATGTCGGACATCAACAGCGGGAACTAAGGTTCCCCCTGGGCATCCTTCATTGCCACTATCTACCACCCGCCGCGTAGGAACGCAGAACTAAGGTTCTCGCTCCTATCGGCTCACTTCGCAGCGGATGGCGAGAAGAGGTCATGGTTCTACTTGGTGTCTGTGCATTTTGCTTGCCATATATGCCTGGAAATCCTCCTTTTCTAATGCTCAAAAACTGGCACTTGGCTCAACTCACTGCTCACGTCGCACTTGCTTCTCTCCTGGCTCTGAAGCATAGCTTCGTTGAGGCTGGTTCTAGATAGTTTGCGTCGCCCAAGGTCGTTTGCGTTATAGGTCATCGAATGCTATGGTGCCGAAAACTTGCATCTCGGGGCGACCACGACCCGCAGCATTTGACACCTAAACCAGTGACCGACTACTGTGTCTGGCAGGTGGACGATTTGCCGTTGTCGACATCACCGCCACGCCGAGACCTTTCTCTATCCGACAGCCTCTGGGCACTTACTCCATGTATAACGGAAGGCAGCTATGGTTAGTGACTCGTGTTGAGGAGTACTGTTTCGCAATTGCTGGCCTACTCCGGACCCGAGCTAAGGCTCGCACCCAGTCCATAACAAAATTGATAGCAGGGCCACGACAGCTGTGGATGGAGGGATGATCCTCTACCCTAAGCCAGGGGTGTAGCCCATGTCTGGGATCATGTGCAGCCATGGTGGCCATTTCATGGCCGGACAGATGGCAAAAGCATTTTCTTCAGCGTAAACCCCATGCCATCTGCGTGTTCCGGGCATTTTGACCAGCCTCCGAAGGGCAGTGCAGTCCAAGAAAGCCCTACTTCCAATATACTTGAGAGCAGGCGGAATGGCAAGCTCAACAAGGGCGGCACAGTTCATAAAGGCTTTAACTCGGATTGTATGGAGGGTTGTCGGTAGGAAGACTTCCCGAAGGCTAGTGCAGTGGGCAAAAGTGAATTCCGGAATTTCTTCAATCATGGTGTTACGGAGGTCAACACTGTTAAGCAGTCGACAACTGTCACAAGCGTGCGCTCCTATGGCTACAAAGTGCTTTGGGAGAACAAGCGTGTAGATGCCTGTAGAGCTGAGGCAGCCCGGAGCTAGCTCTCTGGTCCTGTCTTGCTGGGTTAACCCGTTCAATTCAGATCGGGGGGATGGAACCTCACTCACGGTGACCTCTGCAAGGTTGATGCACCCTTGGAAGAGGTATTGCCCGAAATTGGTTTCCCCGCTGAACACGTTTACAGCTCCACCCGATGCATACACACGCTGCAAGGAACAACATTCCGAAAAGGCTTTGTAACCAAAATCGCGACAACCCGGAGCCAAGACACTATTTAGGAGCTTGCAGTCCCGGAAGGCATTATCTGCAATGCCTACCACTGTGGCCGGCAGTTTGACAATGCGGAGTTGCCGGCAATCTTGCCATGCCTCTGCACCTATGAGCCTGATCCCTGACTCGACGCTAACGTGTCGCAAGCGAGGCACACCTGCAAAGGCCCATTCTGGGACAGTTTCTTCTGAGTTCATTGGGACATGAACAG